GCATAAAATGATGTATCGTGAGTATACGGCATCAGAAAAAATATCTAGAATGTATAAATGTACATCAAATTTATGTTGGAAATGTGAACAAGGAAGATCATTTTATAATGCTTGGTGGACATGTAAAAAAAAGCTAGGAAATTTTGGGCTCAAATACAAACAGTTATTCAGAGGATTTTAAAGACTGCTGAAGTGGGGCCTGCAGCAGAGAGGGCTGTGCTTAATGGAATAACATTTTCTTCCTTACTCCAAACTTCTTACTAAACAAAACTTTGTACAGTATTCATTGCTGACTTCCTTCTTTATCAACACAAATAGAAAAGGCAGAGACAAAGAAGGGATGAGGAAGGGAGGGGAGCACAGCAGCCTCATCACAAGCTAGGCAGGAGCATCTGGAGAGCAGAAGGGTGTAACCTACACCGAGCAGGGGGCTGCTGGCTGGGCTGTGGCTGCTCCAGGTCAAGATCTGCAGCCCGCACCTGCCTTGCTTTCACTCGCCTCCAGTGTGGCACCACCCCTCATGGAACGAGTGGCTGCTTTGAAACACTTTATAGCAGCCAGGAGGAGGCAGTCAACCACATCCAGGGCATGGGAATGTACAATAGAATGTGTGGTGTACGTGGGAATGTGTGGTGGGCTGAGTCTGCTGAAGCAGGGCAGGCCCACCAGAAGCCTGGTGGCTGAAGCAGCAGCAGCAAGCCCACCACCAAGAGAGTCCCTGTGCTGAGGAGGAAGAAGAACATAACGAAGGTCAGCTGGGGGTGGCAGGGGCGGTAGTGGGTAGGCAGTGGCAGCCAAAGGGGCAGAGATGGGGGGATATAGGTGGAGGTGGCAAAGGCCTCACAAAGGCCTTGTGGAGGGCCAGCAGAAGGAAAAAGATGGTGAAGGTCATCTGGGGGCGGCAGAGGAAGGCAGCAGAGCGCAGGGTGGCCATAAGGGCGGGGGGCAGGGAGATAGGTGGTGGGGAAGTTGAAGCAAAAGCAAGTGCGACAGGTCAGGAGAAGCGTGAGGTCCTGGCCTAACAACCGCAACCGGGACTACCAAAACTGCCATTGCTAAACAGTGCAGTCACATGATGTTTCGCCTAACAAAACAACACTTTGCTTAGCTTTGCCTAACAACCACTTTGCTTAGCGATGGAAATTCTGGCCCCAATTAGGGTTGTTAAGCAAGGACTACCTGTAGTTCTTACTTTTGACATTTCTCCGCAAATCAGTTGACTCAGTCTTGTTTAAGTGAAATGGATGCTGCAGTGCCTAGGTTAGTTGGCATAAAAGAATTTATGAACGTTCACACATCTATGAAGTTAACAGCAATGCAGTCTATACTGAAACGGTACCTCTATCAAATGTCTTCAGAACATCAAAATCTTTATAGAGTCTGGACATTTTTTCACAGCCTTCTTGTAAGACAGGACCTATACGGAACACGGCAGCATGGCTTTGCATTGTCTATAAAGAATGAAGTAATACACTTCAATCAGTTTTCTTTCATAGTTTTGAGTAAGAGTTTAAGTTTCTATGATTACCAAAACAATTATGTCAAAGCCCACGCGCAGACTTTCAAGATATATATATATATAATAGTTTTCAGCACCTCTACACTAGTGACTGGAGGTGATCTGAATCAAACTTCAGGTGCTTTTTAGATGTGAACACTCCACCACCCAATTATATTCTCAGATACGTTTTTGCACAAAGTCATGTCTAAATTAATAAAAAATGGATATTTCATGTTCTATACCTTTCAGCAGGAGTGTACTTTTCTTTCTTCCATACGCAGAAATTGTTTTGTCACGAATATTTTTTAAGATTTCATTTTTTGATATATTGTCACAGTCAGACCATGATCCTTGAGACTTACAGCTTTATTTAACAATTTAAAAATATCGTCATTGAAAGATTAAGCAGAGCTTTTTGATGAAGTTTTTGAGACTGATAGGATTCATTTACATCATTATCTTTGATATAAGACACTGGCAAAGCATTTATTCAATGTAAAATTATTAAATATGCCTGTTATAAAAAGAAGCAACTATTAACTGGATTTACATAGGGTCTCCATCAAGTTTCTGAAAATATCAAATTTATAATTGACATTTTTGCTCTAATGCAATATAAGAGGTATAACATCCTTGAACGTTGAGAAAGGCTTTGATGTTGTTTCTTGAAAATATTTAAGGGTGATTTTGACTGTGGATTTCCTAAGATTTTTATATTATGGATTGATATGATTTGTCCAACCTCTAATTCAACTGTGATTATTCGTGTACCTTCTCCTTAACTCTATTTTGACGTGCGCATCAAGAATGTATTCTTTTTCCTTTCTTTTCAATTTACATTTAGACCCTCTAGCCTGTATAATCAGAAATTCTAAAAAAAATAATGAAACTACAGTAAAGGGGCAGAGCATAAGATTCTACTACACTGAATAGGCTTTATAGACTATTTCCAGACACATTTTATAAATATGTGAATTGCCATCATATCTAGTTACCCTATAAACTGGAATAAATCAGAATTGACACAACTAAGTCATCACAATAAATTTGACAAATAGTGGTTTTGATTATATTCTCTCTCCTTTGTTAGTATAAGGATTCCTAGGGAGCTTTCTTAGTTAGTACATCTGAACATTTCCCTTGCTCTGATATGAAACACATCTAACTTAGAATTCCTTTAGTATTTGGGGGGATTAAGTTGAATTTAATTCCAAGGGGTTTTTTTGAGAAGCCTTCCTGCATTTTTCCTATCATAATATTGTAAATGAATTTAAACAATACTAAATAAATGTTTTAGCAGAGATAGCCTGAGAGATTTTTATTGCACAAGTTACAGTGTCCTGCTGGGAAAGGTAGATTTAACATCACATTTTCAGATTTATCAGTGAATATTTATTCTAACCTCAGTTACTAGCTGGCTGGAATAAAGAACTTCAGAACTCTGCTCCTCTTTAGGTTCAACCTGAGAAATTCGCAAGACCAAATCCTAACAAATATTGGGATTTCTGTCTGTACAGGGATCAGTTTCAATATCCATATATAATGCCACAAGATATATATTGAAGGTAATGGACCACATATTTAATTTTACCATTTTATCCATAGAATTTTTTCATGATAGGATAATTCCAGTTTAAACATAGGGAATAAATCCTTTTTCTGCATCAACCAGGCTTTTTATAATATTACCTCTCCAGGTCAACTCTATTCTAAGGAAGCCATTATTAAAACTTTTCCAGAAGTTTTAGTAATGGCTCCAAGTGATTCACAACAATTTACTGAATTCAAATATTTGTTATTTGGTCTGTAAGGCCTAGATGCCATTATTGCTTCAGCAGTTTTGCAGTGATTAGTGGTTTTGGATGAATTAACTCCTAATTAATTAATTCTGAAGCCAGTAGACTTTAATGGGAAGTTGATTAAATTGTCATGAGTTATATACTGTGTTGATTAAATTGACATGAGATATACAGTGTGTAAAAGAGAAACTTCCTCCTCTGAGCAGGTGGTGGTGGAAGACATAATGCACTGGAAGGAGAAATCTATACCAATCTGCAACAATTTGATGTTTTTATCAACATTTGAATTTGCTTTTTTAAAAAGGTACAAGGAAGAAGACTTTCAAACAATTTCTAGGATTTTCTTTTTGATTATTATCATGACCATTAATTTTGAGGTTACTCTGTAATTTTAATTTGCATGTATGCATATTTTTCTCCTATTAGTTTGTTATAATAAAATGAAATATTTGAAAAACAAAAAAACCCCACTTCTATTAGCCCTTAATTACATAATCATATTGCTAAGTGTAATTGGCAATACTGTGCTCATGGGCAACATAGTATACAAAAAATGTGCAAATGGCATCTGTAGGACACTTTCCTAAAAAAAATTCAGCAACCAAAACCTTAGATTTCACATGAAGATACTAAGATATTATAAAAACACCAATGGTTCATGCCATTTTGTGATCTTGCAAATTTGGGGCCTTGTGATCTTGCAAATTTGGGGCCTGGAAAAATATGCTGATTGTCCTAAGACAATTTTCTTCCACGAATTAATCCTTATATAAAATATCTTTGTCTGGTATACCAGATCACTATTTCTTAATGGCCTTATAATCTTTCATAGAATTTGCATGAAATAATATGTGGCCATTAATATATAAGATACCAAAGAAAGGAGAATTAACAGAATGTGCAAACTAACATTCATTAGCTTTAATTTACATGCTAGCAAAATAATGCTTAGGATCATTCGATGCAGATTAGAACCCTACATGGAAAGTGAGATGCCAGATATTCAAGCTGGATTTAGAAAAGGTTGGGGAATATGGGACATTATTGCTGATACAGAGTGGATAACTGAGTATGTGCCTCATTAATTACAGAAAGGTATCTGATTGTGTCAATCATGTCAGGCTGTGGAATGTGCTTAGAAAAACGGGAATCCCAGAACATCTCATTCTCCTCATGAGAAACTTATATACAGGTCAGAAAGCCACAGTATGGACAGAACATGGTAAAACAGACTGGCTTCAGATTAGCAAAGAAGTGTGACATTATTTTATTTATCCTTATTTATTCAATCTATATGCTGAATATATATTAAGGGAAACTGGATTGGAAGAACATGGTCTTAAAACTGGAGGAAGAAACATCAATAACCTGCACTATGCTGATGACACTACCCTGATAGCCAAAAATGCAAAAGATCTGCAACCTCTAGTAATGAAAGTCAAGGAGCACAGTGAAAAAATGGGACTAAATTTAAATATAAAAACAACCAAACTAATGACAACAGGTACAGCAACCAGCCTTAGAACTGACAAAGGAGATACCAAAATGGTCAATAGCTTCTGCCTTTTAGGATCAATCATCAACAGTAAGTCAAGATCAGCAGACTAGCACTTGGCAGAGTAGCCACAAAGGCCTTAGAAAAGACATTCAAATGTTGGGACGTGCCTATACCTACAAAGATCAGAACTGTGCAGGCAATGTGACACTCCATGGAAACAAAAGTTGGACTTTGAAGAAGCAGGACAGGAAGTTGGAAATGACTCCTGAGAATACCATGGATAACCAAAAAAACCCAAACAAATGAATCATCAAACAAATCAACCCAGAGTTCTCACTTGAGGTACAAATGACCAGGCTCAAATTATCACACTTTGGATACATTATGCAAAGACCTAGCTCTATGGAGAAGTCCATAATGCTGGCAAAGGTGGAAGAAAAGAGAAGAAGAGAATGACCAGCAGCAACATGGATGGACTCAGTTACAACAATGAGGGGTACACCATTAGAAGATCTGAAGAACCAGGTCAGGGACTGATCATTCTGGAGAAATCTTTGTGGTCCTTAAGAATCAACACTAACTTGATAGCACATAATTAATCAGTCAGTAAGTACATAAGAATTCTTATAATACGCCACCTTTTATTAGATTGTACAAAATAGAAATTTTATTTCATCATTTATTGCAAAATATCTACAAAGTCACTAGCAGCTAAAAGCAGTATAGAAGAAAGAACAGGAGTATGTTCTGGTTCTGTGCAAGAAAATAAATCCTCCTTGTTTAGAACAACCATTTCCAAAACTTATAGGAGATACATTTGTATCCTGCAATTCCTCCATGCAGCACAAAAAGCAATATTATTGGAATCCTTTGAATCAAATTAAGAAGCTGAGATATAAGAAACATAACTTAGGAAACTCTGTGGCTTAACAGACTTCAATTTAAGTTGATGACCCCAACAATGTAACCATACCAAATTAGGCCTCAATAATTTATCATTATTTAGGTTCTGGATGGATGCATTGGTGTTCAATTTGGAAAAGTCAAGGGTAGAAAATATTTTAGAAAATAAATATTTAGAAACTTCTGAAATCTAGTTGATACATTAATCACATGTTGCAAGTTCACACTAAAAACAACTTGTCCTCCAATCCAAAGATCTTACTTACTTTTTGCATATTAAGTCTCAGTTCTGATGTTCTTACATTTCCATTGGCAAAGCGCAGTTTGTCAAGGTTTGCAACAGATTCTTCACCTGCATTTGATTTAATTGATGGAACTGATTCTCCTAATAAGAATAAGCACAGTATTTAATTTCATAGGATTTCTTTGGAGGGAACAAAGCTAATATTACCCATATTCCAATACAGGTAGTCCTCAACCTACGACCACAATTGGGACCAGAACTTCCATTGCTAAGTGATGCGGTTGTTAAGTGAGTCGCACCCGATTTTATGACCTTATTTGCCACGGTTGTTAAGCAAATCACCATGGTCATTAAGCAAATCCAGCTTCCCCCATTGACTTTGCATGTTGGAAGCTGGCTGGGAAGGTAGCAAATGGTGATCACATGACCCTAGAATGCTGAAACCATCGTAAATATATACCAGTTGCCAAGCACCTGGATTTTGATCACATGACTGTGGGGACTGCAACAGTTGTAAGTATGAGGATGGTTTGTAAGTCACTTTTTTCAGCATTGTTGTAACTTCAAATGGTCATTAAGTCATAAGTTGAGGACTACCTGTACTTCCTAATACATTTTTCAATATATCTGCAAAACAGACATATTCAGAATAATAAACTATGTAACTTTTTAACACCTATATCATATAGGGTATATGGTCAATGAAAAGTCAGAGTGTTTTCCAGATCTGAGTAACAATAGATTATCAAAATACAGAAGAATTTATTTTACATGATTCTTTAATATTTCTCATCTACAATTGACAATTACTACTGACCACTACCGTTCAAGGAATGATCAAACTGGAAGGGGTCATTCAGTTGCAGATGCAATTCAAGGTGCTGGTTATCACCTATAAGCTGTTCATGGCATAGGGCTTGGTTATTTATGGGCTTGCCTCTCTCCAATAGTTTCTGCCTGTCCCACACATTCTGACAGAGCTAGCATGTTCTGGATCACATGGTTTAAATTCATTTGTTTGTTTGATTTGGGAAAGCACAGAGAAATTATGTCCTTAGCAGTCATAGCTCCCAAATGACATTAGATAACACAGTTCATCAGAGGCAAGAAAAGCCATTTAGAAACATATATTGTCTGAATTTTGTACTACAAAAAAGAAAGCAACCCCCCTGTAGCACTATAATTTTCATGCAAATTCAAGCACAAGTTGATATCTAGAAATGCAATTAACCTTCTAAGCGAAGACACAAATGAAGCATACTTAATTTTTAAGCCTGTTATAAAATTCAGTATAGCCATGTTTAAGATACACCATTTTAAAAGTTATAAAATAAATAAAGAGACCTACCAGGTTTGCATGATTCTGCAATGGTAAGAGCACAGGCACGACCAAAGACTATCAAGTCCAAAAGGGAGTTTGCACCAAGTCGATTAGCACCATGGACAGAGGCAGAAGCTGCTTCACCACAAGCGTATAAGCCAGGTACTATTTGATCTTTGCCATTGATATGTGTAATTACCTGTCATTTAAAATATATATATATATACACACAAACACACATGTGTATAGACATGACATGGTCCCTCGTAATAAAAAAAGAAAAAAAATTGTTGACCCTAGGCTAAGGCACAGGAGGAAAACTAATGGAGTATCTATTTTGAAGCATTGTCAGAGCTTTAAACAGTGTACAAAAATAAAAAATCTAGAGTGGTCTATAAAAACGATTCTCATCTAACAAATATTATTTTTGAAAAATTACCTGTCCTTTGTAGTTTGTAGGGATACCTCCCATATTGTAATGCACAGTAGGTAGGACAGGAATAGGCTCTTTTGTGACATCCACACCAGCAAATATCATAGCAGTTTCTGAAATCCCAGGAAGACGCATTGCTAGTTGCTGTGGTGGCAAATGGTGCAATTGCAAGTACACATGATCTCTGTCAGGTCCACAACCTCTGTTTATTGTTGTTAGATTAAAAACAGGAGTGTTAAAGAGAGATAAAGATTTTTCCCCTAATACTATTAGAGACAAACAATTTAAGTGAAAAACCAACAATCATTATATCATAAGAGAAATCTGTCAAGTGTTTTCAAACTATCTTTCAATTTAGTAGCTATATACAAAGTTCAAATACAAGTATTCCCTCACAAAAACAAAACAAAATACATGGAACAAATCTGTAATAGGGATGTGCAAAAGTCTTTGATCTTGAAATATTCTAACCTCAAAATAAATATTCTGTCTAAAAACGAAACAAAACATAAGCATTTTAAGAGTTTTGTTCCAAGAACAGGCTGTTTTGTTTCAAGCACGAAACAAAACCTGGCTATTCCGAGGCATGGCGTAATTCTGAGTGTTCTAACTGTTCTGATCACTGCAGTTGGGATGTTTTCTGGCTGTGACTGAGCTGCTTTTTTCTATTTTTTCCAGTCTAATTGACACAATAACAGAGACCAATCACATCACTAAGATTTGTTTAAACTGGATAAGATTATCTGTGAATCAGTGTTGAGAGAATACAAAAGCAATTAAGTGCTTGGCTAGACAAAAGAAGGTGGCTGCTTGCAGCTTCATGTTTGCCATGCTGCCAAGTCACTTTTTTTTTTTTTAAAGAAACTTTGCTATGGGGAATTTGGACTTCAAATTTTTGGACAGGCAGATTTTACGAGTGTTGTGCTGTGCTTTATTCTGCAGGCTGGTAATGCAAAGATGCATGTGTATACACTAGCTTGTTTTGCATACACATAGTACAGTGTCGATTTACTTGGATTTGTTGAACTTTGCTACATATGTGTTCTCACATTTTGCTATAATGTTAATATTATCCATTAAATTAAGAAGAACTTGGCAGCCACCGTATATGAAATAAAACATCAAGAAACATCAACATAGTAGTTTTTATTAGGCATGCCCCTGGTGATTCGACTGCCAATGTCCCCTCACTTCAAATCCCTGTGCCTACAGAAAACTAACCAAGAAGACATTTTTTAAAAAGCAAGACTTAGAAAATCTTGTAAAGGAGAAGTACTGCACTAAATGACAGAGATATTAAACAGTTTAGTTGTTCTCTCTTTAACCCAAGCCAGCAAGAGGGTTCATTTAAAGAAACTGGAAAAATGTGTTATTTCTGTTTTAAAAAATGGTATAACTCAACAGATTTTAATCTAAGTAGGTTCTTCAGCTGATGACAGCAGAGCACTATTCTCATTGTTTCTCATGGAGACTTTCCAAAAAGTTTAGCTGGATTTTTGATTTCCTTGCCCATTAACACATCTATAAATTACCCTTGTAAATATTTTAGAGAAAGTATTTTATTCTTTAAGATACAATATGCTGAGTTAGACAAGTTTAACCAACTGTGCTCTGGATCTTTTATAATCACAATTATGGACTTGATAGTTAGATCGAACTTGCCTTCCTTCACGGATCTCAATAGTCATAGAACGAGACACAACATCCCGGGAAGCTAGATCTTTGGCAACTGGAGCATATCTCTCCATAAACCTTTCTCCTTCACTGTTAATTAAAATACCTCCTTCACCACGACAGCCTTCTGTAATAAGACAGCCAGCTCCATAAATACCTGCAGAACATGTTAAAATTACAACATTTTACCAATGACCTCCATCATCTCAGAAACAAGATTTGCTGCTGTTTTAACATTTGATGTAGTACAACACCTAATAAATTGAACTACACTCTACAGATGTTAGCTTTAAATTATGGCTTGGCAATTATTCACTGAATTACCTTAGTACAGGTAAAGTCTCTTTCAAGTCAAGCTTGAAAATTGATGATTACACAGACATGTCCAGATAGTTTGCTTGACAACATAAAATAGTTTTGCTGTTGCCTTCTTTCAGGATTGTTTTCCTACTTCCCATTCTACCTCTGGGATTTCCTGGGATAACCAGGTCCAACCTTGTTTGGCTTTTCAACATCAGTCAAGTTCATTAGGTGCCTCAGAGGATGAAAGTACTATCTTATAAATATCTTGGAAGTGAATGACTAAAGCAGTATATAAATAAAACTTTCCAACTTTCTATCAAGTACCATTTTACTCCACCTTAGTTGAAAGTTAAATTTCCTTGGTTTCTTATATAGGCATCCCTCTCCTTTTTATACATTTAACACATATAAGAAACTTCAGACAGAAACTGACATGTTTTTGTTCTATACCTTTTGCAACGTTGACTAGCTTCCCCATATTTTCCACTCATCAACTTAAGATGTCTCTATCTGCACCAGACAAAATTAGCACAGCCCTACAAAGCTTATTCTGTAATAAATGTTTTTCAAGTTTCAAGCTTCGGTGCACAACAAAAAATACTATGAACTCCTCTGTTAGGTATTTAGCAAATAAAAGCTTTACAGGTAGTCCTTTAATGAAGGTAATTGGGACCAGAATTTATGTTGCTAAGCAATGCAGCGGTAAAACGTGACATCACATGACTGTACCACTTAGTGATAGCAATTCCTGCAGTCCCTGTTGCCGTCGTAAAGTGAGAATTGCAGATTATTAAGCAAGGACCTCCTCGCAACTTCCAGATGGCTTCCAACAACCAATGTCAGCGGGGAAGCTGGCAGAACTTGTGAATTCCAGGTGGCTTGCAAGCAGGCTGGCAGATAGGTAAGTGACTGCTGCTGGGTTGCAAAGGGTACACAAGGGTGCGAGAGTGGCTGGTGTGGCTTCTGCTGGGTGGGGGAGGGTGCGTGAGGGTGCAAGCAGCCCCAGAAGTCACGGTGCAGCAAGAAGCCCTATTTCTACAACCCTTTGCATAGTGAGGATGGTGAGCCCAGCGGAAGGGAGACAGGTGAAGATGATGAAGGTCAGCTGCGGGGGGTGATGGTCATAAATGTAGGCTGGCTCAAATTTTTAACACGTGACCGCAGGGGCAAATTCGAGGACTGGTTGCAAGTCCATTTTTTTCAGAGCCGTCATAATTTCAGTTGCTGAACAAACGGACATTAAATGAGGACTACCTGTTATAATTTTGCTACCTTTATTTTTTTATAATATGATTAATATTAAGGGTGATATAAAGTTCCAATTTTTATAAAATCACAGTACTGGAAGGTGCTACTTAGGCCACTGAATCCAACCTCTGTTCAATACTGGAATCAAAATGGATTTTTGAGAAAATGGCTGTAAACATGGACAAAAATGATTCCACCAACAATCAGGTCTGTTAGGATTTTTTTTCCCTAACAGTAAACCAGAATCAGTCTTCTTGTAATTAAAATCCATTATTGTGAATTCTGTACTCTAGGATAACAGAGAAAAGGTCACGCCTTTCTTTTGCGTATTTCAGGTATTTGAAGAACATGTTCCCACCACACTTCTTCTGAACACAATATTCAGCGTGTAATCTGACCAATTCAGAATATAGTGGCACTATTACTTCCTGTGATATGGAAACCTGCATTTTTGTTGAATCTTGAATACCCCTTTTTTGCAGTAACACCCCATTGCTTATATGAAGCTTGTAATCAATCATTATTTCAATATCATTTTACAAGTACTATTACCAAGCCAGGTGCTATATTTCTGCAATTTATTTTTTTGTCCTAGTCAAATAATTTTATAGTTGTTTCTGTTACATTTCAATCTGTTATTTTCAATCCATTTCTCTATCAACATAATTTTGAATATTATTTCTATTATAAGATATGAATTGTCACACCCAGTTTTGTGACATCTGTAAATGCATCCCCTCCATCTCCTTGCCCAAGTACTTGACAAACATTTTGCAGTACAGGTACCCAGGAATCAACTTGGGCACCTCACTTGATCACCTCACTTCTCAAGTCAGAAGAATGCTCCTTGAGTACATTTCTGAGTCTGCTAGTATGTGCTAAACCTACACTTAAATAATTTGCTAATTAGAATTTCATG